GTTGTCTTTTCTGAGCTTGAGGCCTGATTTCCTGAATCTTAACAGGACAGCCCTAAGCCTTTCAGCTAGAATGTGTGTGGAGTCTCCTGCAATCAAGACATTGTCAAAGTAGGAGCAGACCCCTGGTATACCTCGTAGTGTGTTTTCCATTACGCTTTGGAAAATCCCAGGAGCGACATTCACTCCAAACTGTAGCCTTTTTACCTTAAAGGCTCCCCTGTGGGTCACAATGGTCTGAGCTATAGCAGCATCATCATCAACAGGCAGCTGTTGATATGCTTGAGCTAGGTCAAGCTTTGCAAAAACACGCCCCCCCTTGAGAGAGGCCAGGATGTGACTGACCACAGGAACAGGATAGGCATGTTGCTGCAATGCCTTATTGAGTGTGCATTTGTAATCAGCACAAATGCGAATGTCCCCATTTGCCTTTAGAGGCGTGACAATGGGGGTCTCCCACGGGCTGGAATCAACAGGTTCTAGGATTCCCTGTTGGATTAGTTTGTCTAATTCAGTGTCAATCTTACTTTTTAAAGCAAAAGGGACCCTTCTTGCTTTAATCCTAATGGGAGTGACAGTGGGGTCTAGCTTTAAGGACACAGGTGGTCCTTTGAATGTGCCCAGCTGGGGGCTGAAAACATCTGCAAATTCTTTGCAGACTTCCTGTAGGTCGAGTGTTTGTAAGCTGTTGAGTCCTGTGACGTGTATCCCCAGGGCCTCAAACCAATCGAGTCCTATGAGACTCGTTCGTTCACCCCCTACTACTAATAAGTCTAGTGGACCTTCAAAACTCTTGTATTGCACGTTAAGGGTGGCCTCCCCCTTAACACACACTCTTGAGTTCTGAAAATCTGTCAATACAATATCAGAAGGCCTTAACTTGGCCTTAGTCCCACTACTGGAACAAATCTTCCTAAATGTATGCAATGAAATGATGGAAAGGGCAGACCCTGTGTCTAGTTCCATAGATAATGGAACCCCTTGTAGCTTCACGTTGAGTGACAGCTTTTTCTTCATGGGCTTGTGTGTGCCTGTCCTACAGATGCTTCTTCGCGAAGCGCAAAAACCTACCCTATTCTGGCTGGGGAAGTCTGGTACCCTTCAGGCGTTCTTCTTGGGGTTGTGCCTTTCGTCGGGCCAGACACACAGCTGCAATGTGCCCTTGTTTGCCGCATGCCCGGCAGGTAGCGGAGCGGAACTTGCAGTCGGTTCTCCTGTGGCGACCTCCACAGCCGATGCACTTGAGCGGAGCCGAAGAGCTTCCCTTCTGGTTCTCTTCCTTCGCGGGGTGTAGACGGTCGACTTCTTCGTCCGGATCCTCCTCGGAGTTTCGTCGGACGTCTTCCTGGTGCACGGACGCACCCTCTGCACTGCTTCTGATCGGCCGCATGTTCTTGACGGCGCCGCCTGCTGCTTCTTCTGCGGTGACTTCCCTTAAGGCGTCTTGGAAGGATAATTCTTCCTTAGCGAAAAGTCTCTGTTGTAGCTCTCGATGCCTTAACCCGCACACGAATCGGTCCCTCAGTCGTTCCTCGAGGTCCTTGAACTCGCAGGGCTTGGCGGCCTTCCGTAACGCGGCGATGTATTCCTTGGCTGACTCACCGGACTGTTGATCCCTCTGTTCGAAGGTGTGGCGCCATAAGATAACGGACACCTTGGGGTGGAAGTGCTCCTTCAGCAGCTTCTTCAGGTCTGCGTAGCTTACAGACTCTACTGGGACAGGTGCTGCAATGTTTTCTGCGATTTCGAAGGCGTCTTGGCCGCAAACGCAAAGCAGGGTGGCAGCCTTCAAGCTATCTTCCCTCACTTGGTTTGCCTTGAAGTAGTTCTCCATTCTGGATACGTAGGACTCCCACCGCTCCGGATGTGAGAGGTCGAATTCCGAAAGCCTTCCGATTTTCGCCATCTTCGGATCTTCAGGAGACGGGTCTATCAGCCAGCCTACCCCCGAATGCGCACCGGATTGGCGGGCAGCTGCCGAGTCGACGCCGTTCCTCTTCCGCCGCTCAGGACTCCTTGGGTAAGCTTACACTTCTTCCTTTCCAGGTAGTGCAAGGCATCCCACCTTCGTCGCCAGTGTTGAGTCCGTGGCGGGAAAATAGACACGAGAAGCAGCTGGAGTTCTCAGTTTCTTTTATTCAGCGTTCAGCTTACAGGAAGATGGCTTCAGCCTCGCCCAAACGCCTCGCAGCCTCTTATATAGGCAACTCCCGGGTAAATGGGTTACTTTTCCCGCGCCAGCACCCGCGCATGCGCACGGCGCTGGCGACAGCCTGTCTGGTCCCGGGCAGCTTTGCACCTGCCCGGGACTGCCTGCAAACGCCCGAACCGTTTGCAAGGCTCGGGACATAACAAAAACAATATTAATAAATGATTTTAGAAGGATTTCTCTATTCAAGTCATTTGACATGTGGCATCAACAATTGATGGTGTTAAAGAAACGTATTTTAAATTCTAACTTATTTTTTTAAAAAGGATAATTTATTATTTCTTACCTTGAAGCAGAATAGAAACACATCAATACTCATCAACAACTAAATTTCAAATTCAGCACATTACTTTGATGAAGTTGTTTCAGGAAACCTGACACTGAAGTAAAATACTCCTTGCAATTTCATCTATCTTTTATGAGGCACAGGATATCTTGCTAAATGTCCTTTAAAATTATGCAAGTCATATTAATTCTGTCAATAATATTTGCTGAATGGAAACTTGAGTATATTACAGATTACTCACGCTAAGAGTTCTTTTGACATTATTCCTAAGACAAGAAAGCAATCCCAACATCTGACTATTATACTAATGAATGCAAGCATAGATTTTTCATGCAAAAAGAAAATTGTAAGGGGACTCATCAAACATTGAGGAGCTCCAGGAATGCACTCTAGAAAGCCAGTTTACTCTAGTGCAGGGGCGTCAAACTCACAACATCATGTGACATGTTTTGACTTTTTTTCCATTGCTGGCAATGGGGTGGGCGCAGTTTCAGCATGATGCATCCGGCCCGTGGATTAGTTTGACACCCTTGGTCTAGTGGTTCAGGTGCCAGGTTACAAAGTGGGAGACCTGCCATGCATGCAAATTTATTGAAGCCTGGCAGTCCACAAGCAATTCCATCAACAGACACATCAACTTTCAACCAGCGTACAAACTCCTCAGAATTCAAATCAACTGCACAGCCAAAGTAATGTCGGCACCAACCCACGCAACCCCACACAACCAGCACTTCACCTCCCAATGACCCTCACCTGATATGACCCTCACCCAACTCATCACAAGACCTTTATCTGGCATGACCCTCACCTGACGTAGCCTTCCCAACAAAAGACCTACTGATCACACAAAGCCCTTATAAGCAGAAAAACACCAACACTAACATCTCCTAAATTCCACTGAAGATATTACCTAGCCTATAACGAAACATTTGGAAACCAACCCACAAGCTTGGAGAATAAACCTTCACCCTCATCCAAGCTACAGATATTCACCACTGTCGGAGGATGGTGTGTTGAACATGTTCATTGCCTGGAGTTATTTGTAAAAATAATAAAGACAGGATACAAATAAATAAATAATCTAAAGATGTGGCCAAATTCATGGATGTTAAGAAAGAATTCGTAAGATTAAACAAAACTATATTTTTCTATTGACAAGATACCGATTTACATTATACATGTTGAAATATTATATTTCTGCAAACTGTGAATCTCACATCACAATTTCTCAGTACAATGGAAGCTACATTTTAGATTATAAGCTTTATTTCTTTATTACATTTCTCACATTCTTCTATGGGTTCAGAGATATGGGGCTTGCTACAAAGACAGAAACTGCTGAAAGTGCTCAGATCAGGGTTAGAGAACAAGGGAAGGTTGGTTGATTATCCGTGATAAAAAGGGAGTGCACATCTGAAGCTGAATGTACATCCAAAGCAGAACACTCTAGAAGACATTACCAAAGAAAACTATATACTTATTAAACAGTTGAAAAATGGATAAGATGATCTTATTTTGAAATGAGAAAGTGTTTTCCTAAAAGTAAATAAAGTAAATGGAGCTATTGGATCTTTTATTTTTTAACTCTTGTATTCAGAAAAACGTCTCTCTGCACCATGAGGATCAAACCCTGATCTCCTCAATGAAATAGCAAACAGCAGATTACGAAGAAACAATATTTTCCCCTTCTGTTTAAAAACTGAATATGACCACTTATTTTGGGGATCATGGAGATCAAGAATCAATTATCTCAGGTGGCAAAAAGTCACCATTTAGTCAGACAAACAAGGGGAATTTTAGTTGGCAGATAGAAGAAAATTGGTTGTATCTTGCTTTTTGTAGCCCCCCCTCCTTCCCTAATATGCTCTTTGATATTTAGGAAATGAATTAGAACTTAAGGGCATTCCTGCAGGACTGTTCATATATTTGGGCAATCTGGCTCCAAAATTTCATATTTTTATTCTGATTCAGCACTACTACAGGTTTAGGCCAGAACAATGGTTGGGTACACATGATGATGGAAGGGATCAGGACTACATCACAAACATTTTATTTGATTATTTATTTATTAAATAAATGTATATGGCTGTCCAACTCAAACATGGCGGTAATTCTAGGAGGAAGAGTTGGGCTTGAGTTTTCCTCTGTTTCCTGGATTTCAGGAGGCAAGCAGAATTTAGAATATATACGGTACTGCTCAAAAAAATAAAGGGAACACAAACGTATAGGAGCCTATATGTTTGTGTTCCCTTTATTTTTTTTGAGCAGTATATTTTTAGTTTTTAAAACAGTTGCTTTAGGTTTTACGCCATAGTTTTTTTTGTCTTCTCTTAAAATGATAGGAAAATGTATCTTGGGATTTTCTATCCCTTCCAAAGAAGGCAAATTTTGGATAATATCCCAGCTCCATTATTCATTTCCCAGAAATGTTTGCTAGTTAAAGCTTACTTGTCCAAATTAAATTGAATGATCTTAAACTGTACTTTGCTATATGCAAGGAAAAATTACCTTGATTTTTTAGTAATGCCCATCTGTTGGTGATCATTAATAGACTCCATCAGTTGTATTTGCTGGATATATTCTTTGCCTTCCACCTGCTTTGGTTGGTCAATCACTCCAAGATACTTCTCATAATCTTTAGTCAAACACCTGAATTTGGCAGAAAAGAACAATTTCTAGGAAATATATTGAAGTATGGGAAGATGATATCAGAAGAGGTGCTTGATTCCATCTAAGTATAGAAGTACCACATGGAATTATTTCCACAATTTAGCTTTTTTTTTAACCTCTTATATTTTACATATACAAGATTATAATAATATTTTAAAAAGCAGTGTAAGGATATGGGAAAGAATCACAGTGTGCTGAAATCCCACTACAGTCTTCTCACTGAATATTTTAATAGAATCATCAGTGTTTCTCAATGCATTTCTACTTGTTCTCAGAACAAGCAAGTACAGCACAGAATAAAATTGTAAGTACCATATGAAGGCTCTGTTGTAACTCTGAATGGATCACTAAGTGATCAATTGTAAGTCAGGGACTACCTGTTTTTGTAGAGGTAGAACCATTACTGTAGAAATTAGGCTATATCTCTGCCTACTTCCAATGTTGCATGAATTATTATATGCCTAATAAGCATTATTTGCTCCTTCAAATAGGCTGAGATCCTATAATGCCCATGTGATGCTTCCATCAGTAAAAAGATTGGTATGTCATTTTTTAATTTCCCTGAAAATCTGCTCTACAGGAACAGGAGTCCCTTTGGAATCACCTGGGTGACTACTTTTGAGAGGGAGAGTTTAAACCTCTCCAAGTTATTTTCTATCAGTGCAGAAAGCTACTTAAGATTAAAGCCCTAGGATCAAATGAGGTAAAGGCTATGGGTACATAACTCAGACATCTTGATAAAGCTAAGCAGGTCTGGAATAGATCATTTCATGAGACTGAAGGACTAAGAATCCCATTTATATGAGCATGATAAAAGAAAGGTTGAATATAACTATATGAAATACGATAAATACCTATTGACTTAAAACCACTGTTGTACATACATTGTAGGGCTGATCCTTTATTAAAAGGGATATTAGGTAGGTGTTACAGTAAGCAAAAATATTACCAAAATATTTTCAATGCTGTGTTTCTGTGCAATTTATATACTGATTTTTAAAAATGATCTATCATTCACTTGCTGATAAAATCATTGAATTCAGCTGCCATAATATTGAAGATGGATTCTTATAGAAGATGGTACTAAAACAAGTTAATATGTTAACATGACGGGCCTGAAGTTAGCCCCCATTAAAATGCGAATAATCAAATTGAGTAATGAATGTGCAAAAGACTAATTATACATTGATTTCCTTTTATTTTTAAGGAGCCCTTTTAGAAAAGTAGAATTCAGCACTGATTGCCTTAATGTTACAAAGCTAACAATATATCATACCATAAATAAATACAACTAATGACTTATTTTTTATTATTTATGCATCATCCTTATAATCTTAAAAGCCATTAACTTAACAGTTCTCTGTATTCTATCAGATTGAGAGAAAAATATATTTATTTATAATCAAGTTGAAAACCATATTCTAAAACAGTATTTTTAAACCTCAACATTAAAATGTGTGGACTTCAACACCCAGAATTTCCACCTGGGAGTTGAAGTCCAAAATATTGACCTTGACCTTCCAACAGAGCCTCAATACCTGGTTCTGGCATTTGTCCTTGGACCCTGATGAAGATGTTCCATGCCGGAAGCGGTTAATGGATTTAGAAGAACATCCCACCCACCTTGGTGTTTTTCGGGTTTTAATGTATTCAGTCTCTTGTTTATTTTTAATATTTAATGTTTTAATGTCTTAACATTTTGTACTTGTTTTCAAATAAATAAATTAAAAAAATCTGAAAGCAGATAGTCCCTGCTGTGCAGTTGAAAAGGAAGAAAAGAAAAAACAAAGGCCAATACAACTTCAGATGCTTGTATCAGAATATAATGGGGAAAAGTTTATTTCTGACAGACACATCTGTAAGCAGCATTCTGTAATGTAAAAACAATTTATTTAATTACATGGTAATAGGAACATATCACTGAATTACAACACTCTTCAAATTCCACCAATACATTACAATATAGACAAGGAGATTTTCAAATGATAAAACATTAATTGTGAAACACTGCATCCTAGAATTTGAATATACCTACCCAAACTTTGAGCTCTTCAGAGAAAAAAATCCTGTTATTTCAAGGTGTCTCATGGTGATACTCATGTTGTGGGAAAGCACAATCACAGATTGTGAAAGCATAGATTCAATTTTTCCCATCTTAAACTATCATATGTTGTTTTTGTTGGATGACAAATCCTGTTACCATATCATTCCAGCTGATGGAGACTGTACTCAATAAAGGGAAGTTTATCATTGACTCAGTCTTTCATTTCTGTCCGCATTCATGCAGGATTCCCCAGAATTTCATTACCGAGGTAATGGCTATGGCACAATCTTAAGAACTTTGCATTTGGTTGATAAAATTATTTTTCCCTAACTTATTTCTTTCAATGTTACTACAGCTGTCCAAGAACCCAAAACATAGATCAGTTTTACTGAGTCTTTACCTTGTATTATGAACCAAATGTTCATGGGATGCAAATCAGCCAAAGATTGCCAAATCACTTATACAGTTTTAATCCCCAGGGTCCATGCTTCAGATCAAGCATCATAAGAACTATCTTGCTTTTGCTCTCATGCAAGCATCTGCTGAGGTAAAGTAGATGAAGAAACAAATAAGAACTGGATTAGAAGTCCCTTTGGGAAAGGTCTAAAAATACTCAAGTCCTCATACAGTTTGCATTTTTAAATGCTTCAGCTTCATTTGCATCCCTCAAACTAATCTTGATGTACTCAGTGCCTTGAGATATTTTAGACTTCAATCCCTAAATTCCCAACTAATTTAATGGCCATTCTGGTGGAAACCACGTGAGATAAATTTCATAAAATCTTTAATTTATCAGATTGGGGAAGACTAAATGGCTAAAAGACTTACCCATTAATTTTGTACATTCCCAAATTTCATTAAATAAACCTCAACAAAATAAGTTTTAGTCAAAAATATATGTGCAATAAAATGTGTGCATAAAATACATTAAAGCATTTCAAAAATAATCTTTAAAGTATATATTTTGTGGCAAAATAGGTTTGCATATAAATGCAAATATGTGTATGTTTATGTGCATAAGACTGATCCAGAAATACAAAAAAATGTATGAATGAACACAGATGAAACTGACATTGATTCGGAAAGAGATCTGACAATCCACTCTATCTTCAATCATGTTGTTCATTTCTAAAAAAAAGTTTTCTAAAGCTTTTAAAGACAGCTAAGATTTCAGGATTTTTATGCCACAGCCTAAGAAGTGGAAACATTCTGAAAGGATAAGTATTCAAATTATTTGATTTTGATTTGATTTTCCATAGTGCCTGAGAATAACACTTGATAGTTTTGCTGAATATAGCTGCCATGAAACCACAGAATCACAAACCATAACACTATATTACAGTGATATCAAATGGCAGAGAGAAGACCTCCTTTGTTTCCATTTATTGGAACAAAGCATCTGAAGACTGCTTAAATTCTTTTCTTTAAGACCTGATGCATACATATCAAGATTCAATGTAAGCTTTGATACCAAGCCTTGTATAACTCATACCCCAGCTAAAGCAATTAAGTGAAGAAGCTCTAGTAAGGCACTTCACATATGAATAAGTACTTAAAGAAATTCTTCACCACATTATAAAAAGGAACTCAACCAGTTATATATCTGAAATGTGATAAATCAGTGAGTTGATGAACTGTTAAATTGCCAATTCCTCACTTAAACTGTAGCAGTACATCTTGAGACCCACACAAGGACCTAAGAAAATATCCCTTCTTGCTCCTTGCCTAACATTGACACGTATTGTAGATTTGGGCAAGTAATGGCACTCAAAGCATTTCTAGAGCATCAGATGTTTTTATAGATATTTTGTAGCCATCCATCCCATAATGACAGCTATTATTAATTGAATCACACAGACCATGTAATATACTTAAAATGGAATATTTTAAAGCAGGGATGGACAAGGGATGGTCTTCCAGATGTTGCTGAATTCCTATTCCAAATACTTTTAGTGAGCATGGTCAATGTCAAGAAATGGCATGAATTATATTCCAATAAAATGTTGAGGCAAACATGTGGCCACATCATTTTAAAATAAAATATAGTTAGCTACATAAAGTTTAAGGCAGTAAAATTTTTCTGGTATGCAAAAAAATAGGCATTTAATGCTCTACAGAGTCTGAGCCAGTGGTTAGGATTCTCTACTTGGAATTTGTGAAGGTTACAAAGGAGAACACAGCCTATTTCACAATAATGCACATATCAGGAGAAATATGCAAAAAAAACCCTTCATGCAGGTTTTTCTAAAAAATAGGAAACTTAGCTCGAAATAGGATGAAAGAGACTAATATTGGAAATAAACACTTAGTGGAAGAGGTATTCAGAAGCTGGACATTAGATTGGAAATCTGGCCTGGATCTGATGCACAGAGCATCAAATTCAGAGACAATACAAATGCAGAACTTTCTTTCCTGGCTACGTAGAAAATTATTTTTGGTATCAAAAATAATATTATATTACTGTTTTGGTGTTACTGGGAGATATGAAAAGGGAGTAGACTGGGGGGATGGCACGGATTTTAAAAACATCGATCCACAGGATCCAAAGAGCTGATGTAGTTCCCATCTTCAAAAAAGGGGGAAAAATGGATCCAGAAAACTACAGACCTATCAGCCTGACTTCAATACCTGAGGAGATTCTGGAAAAGAAATCAAGCAATGAATCAGCAAACATCTAGAGGCAAACAAAGTCATTACCAAAATCCAATATGGGTTTGTCAAAAACAGATCATGCCAGACAAATCTTATTGCATTCTTTGACCAGGTGACATACTTAGTGGACCAGAGGAATGCTAATTTACTTGTTTCAACAAAGTATTTCTCCTACTAGCATCAATAGACGAGAATATCTATAGCAGGTATCTTCAAACCTGGTCCTTTTATGACTTGTGGACTTTCAACTCCCAGAATTCCTCAGCCAGCGTGCCTCAGGGTTGAACTATGGAGCCCTTAGTACTCTCTGATCTTGGTTGTTGCTTGCAGAAGTTAGTTATGCAGTTGAATAATGGAATATTTGAAAGCAAACAATCAAGATTAGAAAACACCAAGGACTCCACAGATTGTAGTAGCATTTTTGCAGTTTTCTGCCAGTTATCTCACACTGCATGATGGCAATTGTTTTCTTGCCATTTTGCATTTTTTTCCTCTGCTAGTGATTTGAAAGGGGTTAACATTCAGTTCTAAATTCGTTTTTTTATGATGTAAGGTTTTTCAGATGGATGATTACAGTTATTACCACATCCTTTTCTTTGCAGCAAGAAACCCCAGCAAGGATCTCAAAGGATCAAACTAGCTTTTTATGTAAATCATAGTATATATTTTTTTCTATAAGAAACACAGCACGTGTTTTTTTTTAAAGCAAGACACCATACCAGTGTTAGGAGGGGGGAATCTCAGCTTCAACTATTAATTGTTCATTTCATTGCAATCTTGAAAAATATTAGAAATCTATTCCTTTTTTTAAAAAAATACTATTGACAGCAGTTTTTAAAGAAAAGCATATGACACTCACCAAGTCTCCTCTTAAGGGGGAACTGCTGTTATAACAAATCTGTCCCAAATTCTACTAGGATAACAAATTGTAAATAAGGATGTAACAGAAAGTTCATTTATATAAAATGCATAACCCTGAACTTTCAATTGTATTAATTGTTTTCAAGGAATCTTGATCACACTTATATATTTGCAGAGGACATTCTTCTACGAAGTTGCAGAAAATGTTGAGACACGTTACAGCCTGTGCACTCAGGTTCCACAGGCTAATATTTTACCAATTTCAATTTTTAACTTTGTGTTTCCCCTAAAATTTTTTTTAAGAATGACAAAAAATATTGCAAGAAAACTAAGCAGAAAGACATCTTACATGGTTACAATAAACAGATTTGTAGATACATGCTAGGTTATACAATAACCAATGTCTTTTGGCCAACTGATGAAATATGAAGGCTAGCTTGTTTTCAGAGAATCTGCTTGTCCTTACCAATTTGTTAATATGGAATTACAGTAAGTTTTGACAACCAATAGTGCAAATGAACCAGATTAGAAACCAAAAGTCTGTGAGTTCTAGTTCTGCCTTAGGCACAAAGCCAGTTGGGTAACCAGTCACTCTCTGTTAGCCCTAGGAAGGAGGCAACGGCAAGCGGCCTTCCAAAAAAACCTTGCCAAGAAAAATTCAGGGACTAGACCAGGTGCTCTAGTCAAAAATTGACTTGAAAGCACTCCCTTCCCAAAAGAAAATCTCCAATAAGTTTTATAGGGATCCACAAGGTTTACTTGGAACCCACATATGAAAAATATATTTACTAAATTCGTCAAAAAGACGTGGTGTGTGTGAAAAATAATTCTGGATTATTTTTCATTTTTATGGTCAATTTCTCTCAGAAATGGGTGGTCAAGTGATCATACGGCAATTGCTATTATTTAGGTTGACAGCTACAAAATTCTTATTTATTACATTGTTTTTACATCTAGACTTCACAAATATTTCCAGCACTTTAAATATATCATACAGTGATAAAAACCATAATACTGAAAACCCACCTCCTCACTCAACAGTCGAACTACAATATAACCTGTATCTTAATATCTATGACAAAGTCATTAATGGAGGCTCTGCAGAGAGGCACCCAGTCTTATGTTCTAGAGAGAAACTTCCATCTTTTTATCATACCACAGTATGCAGATTTGGGTCATACTATCAAAGAAAAGGGCAAGGGTTGAAATCCTGTATTATGCCACACTGTCAGATTTGATTATCATAAATTACTTCATAGGGAAAATGGCAAGTGTCAAACCAACACTGATTTGCAGAAGAGGCTCAGTCTGAAATCACATCCTGCTCCTTTAATAAAAAGTACCAGAAATAATGAAAGCCTATAAAGAATTTGTTTATGTTCAGAAATATGCATGCTTTATATTTTAATCCCAAAACATGAATTTCCTAAGGCTGTTTTTCAAAATTATGGTTATTAACCTTTTCCTGGAGGCAGCTGGCTGGCCTTTGAAGTCTGCATCATTAGCTGAACAAGATCTCCTAAGGCATTTGCTTTTTACCAAAGGTTCACAATGTCACGCCATGCTTGGCAATGTTCTCTTTCTGCACCTCATTAGC